TTCAGTTATCCATCGATAACTTAGAAATCATTAAGGAAAACCCTCATGCAAAGTTGATCCTTGACGGATTTGACTATGGTTTTATGTCTTTTTTATGATACATGTATAGTTCTTCATGTATTTGCGTGTGTATGCATCAAAATGATAGATTCCAGAAAAAACGGATCGGACACTCATTAAGTAACGTTATGAAAAAAAAACATTATAATTTTAAAATATTTCTGATGTCAAACATTGTAAACACTTGTTACAATATGTTAGAGAATATTTTGATGGATTGTAATCATTTGAGGCTGGAGTCCTGACGTTGAAAAGACAACTTTCAAATAAATACATTTCGAGGAAAAATGAAGACTACAGTTATTGTATGTAATTATAATGCATTGAGAGAAAGCATTAAACTTTAAACACAAGGAATAAAATGTTTCGTTTGTCAAAATAATATTGAAAATCGTCTTTGAGTTATCAATAGATAGTCTGTCTAGATAATATTCATTATCAAAGGGATGACCAAAATAAGAAAAATTTCATCACATCCAGCTATTGAGGATGATAGTATAATGGAGTGACCACTAAGCAATTAATATTTTGTACCTGAACCACTTTGCCTTTGCTTATTTCTCCTTTGTTTCCTTATCCTTCGTAGTTTTCTCTTTTGCTCTCTCCTATCCTTTCCAACTGAAAAATACATTTAGAAATAAATCAATCTTCACGAAACATGAACACACAGCAGGCCGGTATTTTAAGTAGCATAAGGAAATGTCTATTTATTGAAAGGTTGGTTTGAAAAAAGTCATAACTTTAAAATAGTAATACATTGGTTGCTGTGTTCAAAAGGACTACATTCTTATCTTAATTGTTAGTAGTATTAGGAACGTCACCGAATTTCAGAAATTGTATTTACAAAAGCAAGATAACGGTGGCCTCTATGAAGTGAGAAATGTATATCAGTCGGCAGGACAGACGTCTACCTGGTATTTCCTAGATTTTGGTGAGACAAATCATGGTTAGAATTATCAAATGAAATAAAACTTTAATCTTAAAAGTTATTATATACTTTTGTTTTCCTCGTTCTCTCGGTTTTAGTTTGTAACCCGGATTTGTTTTTTTCTCTCAATCGATTTATGACTTTTAGGTATACTACTGTTGCCTTTATTTATATACGGTTTCCAAACAATAACAAGTGTTTAACAATTGTTTGTGAACATTGACAGCACAGTTATAATTCCATCATTAGAAAATATTTCATTAATACAGGTTTCCATCAAACATATCATATACAAAAAGAATACAACCAATATCATTTCCGTCGGACAGAAAGTTCTATATCAAAAGTATTTAAAATCCTACACAGCTCAAAGGTAATTTCAAAAAGGGAAAAAAGACACTAAAACTCCACAAATGCAAACATTGAAGAGATATTAATCAGACAGACTTAGTAGGTATAGTATAAGAATTAATTAATATCTTTACATTATTTGAATGTGTTATCTGAAATTATATTCATAAATAGGCTAAGAATTAAAACAATACTTACCACATGTATATTTGACAACTAGATACTTAGAGGTATTTGGACATGGATCACCAAAAAAGTTTTTGCTTGCTCTTAATCTACATCTTTTCACCCCATTACATTTCTTCTCAACAATTGATTTGGCATCTTCTTTTGAACAATCTGTTGTTTGAGTACTACCATCACTGCAGGTTTCTTTGTCAGCTCGACCATAAAATGCATTTAATATTTTAATACGCCTTCTGCCTTTACACCTCAGATTCATCTTCTTATTATAACAGGCAGTTCGACTTTTTTCTGAAAGATATGTTTGATTTTAAAAAGGTTTAAATCATTGATTTGACCTTCTTTATATAATTACATCAATAATACTAAAAACGATAAAAATGGCTCCTATTTTGCATCAATCTTGTTGATGGTTGTAATAAACTTTTTTGCTAATAACCTTATACAATTTTGTTTGACTAAAACGACAACTAGTCGTTAAATAAATAAATCTACCCGGAAATGGCTTTGTTTTTGTACCCGCTGCAAATTAGATATTAACGGTGCCGATGTTTGGATTATGTTCAAATAAATATTCAAAAACTGCAAACACAAATTCGAACATGTTTAATTTATGGCTACGTGTAAAACTTTTACTTCAAAGGCAGCAGTAGTAAGAGAAATGTTGAAAGAATGTCTGACATGAAAGCTGTTGATGAATACCGCAAGGTTCTCAGTGTTTAATTACACAAGAATGTTAAAATATGAATGTATATGAAGTATCGTCACACAGCACTTCCTAACGCTTATGTATGGCTCATCAACATTTAAATATTATCAAAATCCAGAAAATAAGGTTTTTAGTCTGAGAGACCGATGTCTGTACTGGAAAGATGAAGAACAGCAATATATTTGTAAAAGCATTGCTTTGGTGATATATGTAAATTGTTTATTTACATGTATTTGTTTTATTTACAGCTACCTGAAATCTTATCTTGTATCTTAAATCTCACTCTTAACCATATGTCGTAAAAGTAAATTGGAAATAACTGTGGCATGATATTTGAAAAGCAAGGTCAAATGTGCTAATACAGAAAGCCAGCGAAGGTAGCAATAGCTATTGGTTGAATACTGCCACTCAGGAAAATAAGAAAATAAGAAAAACTCCTAGCAGGTTCAATGACGTGTCGTCCTAAATTTAATGAATCCGGCAGTAATTGTGAGATGCAATTAGCTATTCAAAACCATCAACCCAGTAGCCAGTACTCGAGTACTGCAATGAAAATATATGGATATTAAAAAAAAAGCTGTTATGAAAACTGGAATTCATTCTAAATTAAGTAATGTATCTCTGTCTTGCATATCTTTGATTCCTTGTCCGATTTTTATCTCAGTGATTTTTTGTGTTATCAGCTCTTCTATTCACCTCTTTTGTCTTTTTTAACTTTTCTGTCTTTCTTATCTACTTTTTCACTTCTTTTCCCTGTAGATTTTGCACCTAAAAAAGGTAAAGGCATAATTATTTGCCCATAAAACGTTTTCCATTTATCTGTAGCAAAGATCGAACAACACCTGACTAAAGTATTAATCTTACATGTCATATACTGTTCACGGATAATAATTTCCTAAAGATTTTCTTGAAGGCTGGAGCGTAAATTGAAAATACTCAACTTTTTAATAAAATACACATTTTTACGTCGAAAATTAAATGGTCTCCACCATGTCATCATCATGTTTATTAGTTTTCAGAACATAAGGTTGTAGATTGTTATGTATGTGTTGCATTGGACGTAGTCACGATCCCGTCCCCTTTTTTTTCGTATATTGTTAATAAAACAATATGACGAAAATAGATTTTTATATGATTAACGTACTTTTCAGGTGTTTATTTCGTAAACGATATCTAGCAACTGTAAAAATTAAATATGTACAAAACATTCCTTTAAATGTTCTTTGTTTTCCTATGAAACACCTGTAATATAAGTTTTATATATCTGGATGCAAATAATCATACTGCTTATGTCTTGATTTAAATTATGTTATAGTTACAATATCAAATGAACTCTCTTGACCTTGCTGTATTGTAAAAAACTTGTTTTTAGCTTCACTTACGAGTCTTTTGTAGACGAAACGCGCGTCTGGCATACGCAATTATAAATTTGGTATATATGATGAGTTTATTTGTAGACGAAATCGCGTCTGACCGACAAAATATTAATCCTTGTATCTATGATGAGTTATTTAAAACTACTGGGTCGATACCACTACTGGCAGAATTTTCCTCCACGAGGGTATCACAAGCCCAGAAGTCAGCATTTCTTCGTTGACATGAACTATCATTGATGTGGTCATTATTATAAATTAACTGTTTGCTCCAAACTTTAAAATTTTCGAAATACAAAAGATTTCCTACCCCAGGAATAAATTTCCTCAGAAGAATTTAGAAAAACCTTTCGGAATTTTTGGTCCTCAATGCTCTTTAATTCGCACTATATTTGGCCTGTTGGACGTTTTTTTCCGAGCGTCACCGATGAGTCTTTTGTAGACAATATGCTCGTCTGGCGTACAAAATAATAATCTTGGTATCTATGATGACTTTATATGATCATTACAAGGGGCGTTGTAGTGACTGTCCTATATAAAAAAAAACCAATAAAAGCACGACCCCTTTTGTAATAAAATTGTCTGGTATTTCATATGCTTTTTTGTCTCATTACATTTACTTTTTGCCAGATGAGTGACACAATTAAAGCAAATATCAACTGTTTATCTTGATGAAACAGGGTTAACACCAGTTGGTTGCTATACACATGTGCAATCTTAAGTTTACTGTACAATGCTTTTTTATTGGTTTTATCTGAATTATCTTTATTACTTCATCTTGTATACTTTGACATTTTTAAACGTCAACAATAAGTATAAGTGATATGCGAGTATAAATAAGGCAATTATCGGTTCTTTTGAACCTTTGTAGTGGAGAATTACGTTATATTCTAACACATGTATAGATAAAAGTAAAAATACATCAAACTGAGACTTAAAGTAAGTTCTACACTGGCGGAGAATAACGTTACAATCAACAACAAATATAGAAATAACCGTAACATAATTTTGTTTGACAAATTAATTACAAATGTTAGTACCTTTTTGGATGCATGCTAGATTCAATTTAATCAATTAGTTTTTAGGCGGTCGTACTTTTTGGACACAAAATCCTAACACGCAACTAAGAAAACGAACCTATGATCTAAAAGTCACGTAATAATTTTTTCAGGAGACAAAAACTCACATCACACTGCAAAATTACTATTATCGAAGTTGATAAAAATAAATTTGACAAAAAAAAAAAATGGATGAAATCAAAGGAGATTCAAAGCTGACAATGTTAGAATGCAGGACTTATTAATGCAATTGATATAACTTTGATAACTATTCTCTTCTACATAATATATCTTAGTAGGTTCTGATAAAAATTAAATAGTGTAAAAGTAAAAACTTACCTCTGCAGTCTACAAACATAAATAAAAAGACACATTTTAACTACTAGTAAACTATTAGTATAGTATTGAAAACATAAGATTTCAATATTAATTTCATTTGAATCATTTGATAAACAAGACAATATCTTTATATAACAGCAATTATACCCTTCTTTTAGTAAACAAACAAGTGAATAATCCTCGAAACATAATTTCGATGCCGCATTTATATCTTAATTCCTTTGAACTTCTAGGAATATCATTGGTTAAAAGCAAACATGTAGGAACCGTGTATATCTAATATAAAGTCAGTGGGAGTGGTTCATACATTGTTGTTATTTCTGTTATTTTACCTTTTATTTGAAATACACGGTTGGTAGCAGTAAGTAGTACAATTACTTTCCTTTAAAAAAGATAACACGGTGTTGTTCTCAATTTAACATACACCGTAAACAAACATAATTATGATTTGTCAAGCTTTAAGACAAAACATGTTTTAGAGACGTTGACGTATACTCATAACAATCACTGTAACAATAACTGAAATATATTTATTATTTTTTTTACAACATTTAAATTCCCCAAATTAGATAATCGGTAAGATAAATTCGTTAAACAGTATGCTAGTGACCTAATACGATAAATACGGGGTCAGTAAATTTCATATTGGCCTAGAGCCTTTTCGCACTTGTCCCATATGGAATTAACTGACTCAGTATAAATCTTATTAGGTCACTGGTACTATGTGTAACTAATAATATATGTAGAGTAAATTATGTCTCCAGTCGACAATCTGTATCGATTAACAAAACCCATGTCCTGTCCTATATTGCGTCATAATCGTTTCAAAATTTAGTTCCCCATATCTATGTGCTCTTCAACAAGTCAAACACAGTCTGTTATTTATTACCGTTTCAAACGTGCTTTTAAAAAAGTTTTACAGTTGATGCTTACTTTGTTTTGTTTTTTCAAATGAAAAAACCCTTCTATTTAAAGACTGTCTTTTATTAGGATATACTACACAAATATAATCAATTGTATTTGTATATTTGAAAGTCAATTAAAAATTATAGCATGTATAATTTAAACGTGGTTTCAATCAAAATTGATAGTATCGACAAAGAACGTAACATGTCTGTTAAAAGATCTATATTTGAGTTAAACAGATTTAAGTTCCGTTTTGTCATTTTAAATTATATCTCATACATGTATACAAGAAATACGGCCGCAAAGTCAACCACCAGTCTTTAAATTCTGTGTATATAGAGGTGCATACATATATCAGTCGTTTATTGTCTTTTCAAAAAGAGTCCCATTTCATGTAACTCAAATTTAAATCCTTCTTGATAAAACATAATTTGGGATGAAAAAATGCTTTCACTTGAAGAAAACTTAAACCGACAAAATGAAAACGTTGATCTATGTAATTAAAGCAAACCTGAAATGTAAGTTTCGAAAAGAAAAAACCCACAATCAGTGTATTTCTTAACATTGAATGTTTAAACAGAAAAGTATTTAAATGTCAATAGGAGGTTGCTTGATTTGAAAAAAAATTAATTTGACATCATTTATTTTTATGTGTGACTAGACTTGAGACATACATAAACTTATAACAATACTATTTACCTTTAATACGATATGTGACTTTAAATTTTCCAGAACATTTATTTTTTACTATAACTTCATTGTTCTTTTTTCTTAATCTGTATTCTTTACTACTACATGACCCATCTAAAAGCTCAATATCTGTAACTCTCTTCAGATCTGAAGCTTTAACTTCACACGATTCCCATCTTTTCGTCTTAGCTGCACATTTAACTATTATGTCGTTTTCACAAGATGCAGGAGGAGCTGTAAATTAAGGTGACAATAGTTTACCTAAGTTCAAACTTCGTAAATCGAATAAAAAAGGGAAAAAAAAGCCTCAATCAAACCTGATGGAATTACATGAAATCCCAAAGGAGAGAGGCTGCGTGCGTCTACATAATATATACGTATAAGATTTAATGCAAAGATCATTTAAATGGACACGAAGTCTTTAATTGAGGTCATTGTCTAGTCAAACATTTCATATACACAAGGGTTTCATACAACTTGTTCATAAACAAAGTCATTGGTGAGCAAACATTTGTGCTATTATCAGAATAAAATGTGGGAAAGGCCGAATAACATATCTAAGACTGAAAATGATTTCAAGATACATTTTTAATATCAATTATGTAAAAAGGACATATATATATCAAGCAAAAGAGAATGAACACTTTTCTAAAAGGTACTACAAATTAAGATTGTATTGCAGACGACGGAAAATCCAAACTTATAAGGTCAGTGAATGATGTATAAAGTAAACGTTTATGCTGTCAATGTATTTTGTTTTCAGGAATAATTCTGTTGCAGTATATATCAGAATACATTATATTCATGCGAGAAGTTAGAACCTCATCATGATATGTTTGACCTAAACGTTTGGGTTGTCTTCAAAGTAAAATCATACCTCAGAATATAATATGTTTTTTAATAATTCCGTTTTTATCCTTTCTTATTCTATAAAATTAAAGAATCTATATATTAGCCACGTTGAAAACAATTGAATACATTTTCCAGATTCATGAATTGCAATAATGGACGGTTACTTCAAATCAACAATTGTCATACTATTTTTCAAAACAGTAAGAAAACAAGACAAGGCGTATAAAAAAGAAAGGCACAAGTCTCCAAAGGGATACCAGTTATTAAACTCATTAATCGAAGAGAAACTGGTAACACAACAACAAAAATGACCAAGCTTAGTTTTCTATATAAGAAAATACCTGTAACAAGTCAGGAATATTACAGTTGTTTTCCATTCGTTTGATGTGTTTGAGCTTTTAATTTTCTCATTTGATAAGGGACTTTCCGTTTCGAATTTTCCTTGGAATTTATTTGACAAAGAAGTATGTTACTTGAAACAAAACAGTGTCAAATTGATTTGATACAGAATTACTAATTACTTCCCATATTCAGAAATATACATACTGTTTTCTTCTTCATTTGGCGGTGATTCTAAAGGAGCAGGTTTCTGTGAACGTCCTGTAAAAGTTCAAATTGTTATATCACAGTAGATCAACATATAACGAGACAAAAATGAAGGCAATCCTAAACATCATTGTGTATTACTACTAACAACAGTTAATGTTATATCAGACAAAAACTATTCAAAATAACTATCATCTATAATTACTATATATTCACTTTTAAAGTTATATGTTTTCTTTTATCTAATGGCTACCAATCATGAAACGCAAAACATTCATAATAGCAAAACAGTAACAATTAGGTTTAAATTTACTCTTCGTTATTGTTTACAACAAATGTCGATGAAAAAAATAGAAATCACACTATTTCTACATCCTTGTCACCTAAACCAACCTGAACATATGATTGTAAAACTGAAATCACTGTAAAAACAAAAACAATCAATATATAGCATGCATATTGCAATTTGAAAATCTTATTCAAATTCACATCAAACACCCGTGTCAAGGCATATGCATTAAAAGAAAATTGTATGATGAGTTGGTTACGGAAACTCGATTTTCACCTGGTATTTGCCTGTCCCTTGTTTTTTTCTTGATTTATTTTTCTTTTCTTGGTATCTTTTGAAATATCTTTAATACTTCATCGTATATACTTTTACATTTAACTTTAAACGTCAATACTAAGTATAAGTAATACACGAATACATAAAAGGCAACTCTCGGCTATTTTGAACCTTTGTGGAGGAGAATTACGTTAGATTCTAACACGTAGATACACAAAAAAAAAATTACATCAACCTTAGACTAAAAATAAGTTCTACATTGGAAAAGAATGAAGTAACAACAAATAACAGTAACAGAATTTTTTTTGACAAATCATTACCTAATCTTTTTCCCTTGTTAGATGCATGCTACATTCTACTTGATGAATATTTTTTTAGGCGGTCGTACGTTTTGAAGACAAAAAACTAACACGCATCTATCAAAACGAAACTTTGATATAAAAGTCACAAAACATCTTTTTCAGTGGACAAAAACTCACATCTCATTGCAAAATTACTATTATCGAAGTTGACAAAAATAAATTTGACAAACAAGTACAAAATGGTTGAAATCAAAAGAGAATCAAAGCTGATAATGTTAGAATGCAGGACTTAATAAGGCAATTGATACAATTTTGATAACTTTTCCCTTCTACATAAAATATCTTAGTGGGCTCTGACAAAATTGAATACTGTGAGAGTAATAACTTACCTCTGCAGTCTACAAACAAAATAAAAAAGACACAAATTAACTACTAGTATAGTATTGAAAACATTAGATTATAATATTACACTTGTATAGCTTTCATCTGAATCATTTGATAAACAAGACAATCCCTCTGCATAACAGTAATTGTACCCTTCCTTTAGTAACCAAACAAGTTAAAAACCCTCGAAACATAATTTCGATGCCGCATTTATATCCAAAACTCATATTTATCTTCCTTCTTTCAAAATTCAAGGAATATCATTGGTTAAAAGCGAACATGTGGGAACCGTGTATATCTAGTATAAAGTCAGTGGGAGTGGTTTATTTGAAATACACGATTGGTAGCAGTAAGTAATACAATTACTTTCCTTTAAAAAAAGATAACACGGTGTTGTTCTCAATTTAACATACATCGTAAACAAACATAATTATGATTTGTCAAACTTTTAGACAAAACATGTTTTATAGACGTTGACGTATACTCATAATAATCACTGTAACAATTACAATATTATAATTGTTATTTTTAGTTCAACATTTAAATTCTGCAAATTAGATAATCGGTAAGATAAATTCGTTAGACAGTATGCTATTGACCTAATACGATATATATGGGGTCAGTAAATTTCATATTGGCCTAGAGCCTTTTACGCTCTTGTCCCATATGGAATCAACTTACTCAGTATATATCTTATTAGGTCACTAGAACACTGTAACTAATAATATATGTAGAGTAAAATATGTCTCCTATCGACAATCTGTATCAATTAATAAAACCCATGTCCTATCCTATATTGCGCCATTATCGTTTCAAAATTTAGTTCCCGCTATCTATATGCTCTTCAACAAGTCACACACAGCCTGTAATTTATAACGTTTCAAACGTCGTTTTAAAATGTGTCTTTACTTACTTCAACTTTGTTTGGCAACTTTGTTTGGCCAATTTTAATCGTTTGAATTATGATCTTGGTTGACATTCGTATATTCACTTCCAACTGTTATAGTTCCTACACTTTTTGTGTGGTTGTTGATATGAGTAGAAGCCTTGCTGGCCTAATAGTCTACGAACATGTACAATCTAATTGATAAAATATTTACAGTAGGGAAGAAAATACACTTTATACAAACTGAGTTTTTAAGAACCTAAAGCTAAAGTGGCTTTTAAAAAGTTTTACAGTTGATGCCTTTTTGTTTTGTTTTATTCAAATAAAAAAAAACTCCTATTTAAAGACTGTCTTCTATTAGGATATACTACACAAATATAATCAATTGTATTTCTATATATGAAAGTCAATTGAAAATCATAGCATTTTTAATTTAAACGTGGTTTCAATCAAAATTGATAGTATTGAAAAATAACATAAAATGTCTGTGAAAAGATCTATATTTGAGTTAAACAGATTTAAGTTCCGTTACGTCATTTTAAATTATATCTCATACATATATACAAGAAATACGGCCGCAAAGTCAACCACCTGTCTTTAAATTCTGTGTATATAGAGGTGCATACATATATCAGTCGTTTTTTGTCTTTTCAAAAAGAGTCCCATTTCATGTAACTCAAATTTAAATCCTTCTTGATAAAACATAATTTGGGATGAAAAAATGCTTTCACTTGAAGAAAACTTAAACCGACAAAATGAAAAAGTTGATTTATGTAATAAAAGCAAACCTGAAATGTAAGTTTCAAAAAGAAAAAACCCACAATCAGTGTTTTTCTTAACATTGAATGTTTAAACAGAAAAGTATTTATATGTCAATAGGAGGTTGCTTGATTTGAAAAAAAATTAATTTGACATCATTTATTTTTTGATTTGTGAATAGACTTGAGACATACATAACCTTATAACAATACTACTTACCTTTAATACGATATGTGACTTTAAATTTTCCAGAACATTTATTTTTTACTATAACTTCATTCTTCTTTTTTCTTAATCTGTATTCTTTACTACTACATGACCCATCCAAAAGCTCAATATCTGTAACTCTCTTAAGATCTGATGCTTTAACCTCACACGATTCCCATCTTTTCGTCTTAGCTGCACATTTAACTATTATGTCGTTTTTACAAGATGCAGGAGGAGCTGTAAATTAAGGTGACAATCGTTTACCTATGTTCAAACTTCGTAAATCGAATAAAAAAGGGGAAAATCAAAGCCTCAATCAAACCAGAATTACATGAAATCCCAAAGGAGAGAGACTGCGTGCGTGTACATAATATATACGAAGAAGATTTAATGCAAAGATCATTTGAATGGACACTAAGTCTTAAAAAGAGGTCATTGTCTAGTCAAACATTTCGTATACACAAGGGTTTCATACAACTAATTCATAAACAAAGTCATTGGTGAGCAAACATTTGTGCTATTATTAGAATGAAATGTGGGAAAGGCCAAATAACATATCTAAGACTGAAAATGATTTCAAGATACATTTGTAATATCAATTATGTAAAAAGGACATATATTTACCAAACAAAAGAGAAGGTACACTTTTCTAAAAGCTACTTCAATTTGGGAATTTATTGCGGACGACGGAAAATCCAACCTTATAAGGTCAGTGAATGATGTATAAATATGGAACGCCACAGCTGTCTTATGTGGAACTCTGATATTACTTTATGTTGTTTTATTATTACTTGGTGATATTTTGTCTTTACTTAATATGGTTTTGACATTACGTAATGATGTTTTGATATAACTCAATATGGAATAGTCATTACTTAATGATATTTCGATATTACACGATATGGTTTCGTATTGACTTGATATAGTTTTATCATTACTCAATATGGTTTTGTCATTACTCGATGTGGTTTCACCATTATTTGATGTGGTTGTGTCATTAGTCAATGTGGTTTTAACATTACTTGATGTGAATGTGACTTAACGTTATGTAGTTGTTTCATTACATGATGTGGTTTTGTTATTTTGTAATGATGATTTGCATATTCTTTATATGGTTTTAACATTACGTAATGATGTTTCAAAATTTGACGATTTTACACTACATGATGTGTTAGTTTCATTATTTGATGTGGTCCTGTCATTCTTTGATGTGGTTATCCCATTACGTGATGAGGTAAAATCACGTGACCAATTCGGAAAAAAATATGTTCTATTTTTAAACAGATTTCAATATATCATTTGTTTAATGTGCTTTGGATGGGTATCGCTATCCATTGAGTTAAAGTTCAAATTAAAGTTCTAGTGGTTGTTCAGAGTTATTTGGTATGAAAAAGGGGAACGGCAGACAATAATAAGAAAAAAAGTATTAAAAAGTTTACAGTATTTCGTACATAATTGGGATATCCCCAAACCACTTGGTCTTGTTGTTTTTATCCTAAGTTCTCAAACGGAAGCAGTATTTTGTAATAAATTTGTAAAATATTCCACGGAACCCTGTGTCTCGCCTGATATTGCTGCTGTAAGTGTAAAAGCGTCATGTCGATCGGCTGTACATTTATCTATACATTTATCGGTAAAAAAAAAATTAGATGTTTTTTCTTGAAATTGAGGAATAACTCCTACACAAGTTTTAAAACACTTCACACTAAAACAAAGTATGGTTTTCAACAATAACCAAAACCTATACCCTATAGTAAGCTATAAAAGGTCCCGAAATGAAAAATGTAAAAAACTAGAAACCTAACGATCTATAGATAGAAAGATAGATAGATACTTTATTCTCTAAAAACTAATAACAAGTTTACAGAGAAACATACAATATAAATACAGATACAATAGTTGAGGTAAATAAATACAGTATGATATTCTAAAAGTACAAAATTATGATGGCAT